ACCCCCCCCCCCACCCCTCAAAAATCAAATGGTCCGCCCCTTAGTATACTATACTAACTATGCAATCTAATTGCAGTGTTCTAGCCTGTAAAGCAATTATTAAATGCCAATGATTTTTGATGGATTAAATATTTACATCATTGTACATTGCCCTATCAATATGTAAAGATATTGCGGATTTACGATATGTACTGCATACAGGCGGTGAGTAAATAAGACTGACACCTTTGTTATTCAAATTAGCCGCGAAGGTGTCAGGTTTTTTTTACTCACCCTGTATACATCCTTTTCATAAATGGCTGCCGATTAAAATATTCTTTTATGTGTATATAAATTGGCCCAACTAGCCTCGTACTCATGTTAAGATTTCAAAGGAATTTCTACCTACCCAGAAACGAGGCTAGTTGGACCAATTTATATGCACATCAAAGAATTTTTAATCGGCAGCCATTTACGAAAAGGGTGTATACAGGGTGAGTAAAAAAAGGTTTTTTTTACTCACCTTGTATATATGAATTCCCTTGAGACCTGATTATACAGGGTGTCCCCCAAAAAACGAAAACAATTGAATTCACTTATTGTTAAAATTTAAATGCCCCTACCAAACAGCTGAACGTAATGATGCGTAAAATATTGACAAGGTGCATGTATTAAAATTTAGTTAAGAACATCTCCTTGTAAAGTGCGCGATTTTCTGCTCTTGGGAATCTAAAAGAACTTCTTAAACAGTTTCTTTATGCATAAAATTTACCTATGTCATTCATTTATGCACTCATGGGAACCAACAGAGCGCTAAGGCATTCAAATTCTAACAATTAAATTTTGTGAACCAGGAGTGTGTGTCTTTTCCAACAAATTAAAAATGGCTTGCGCACGAAATTTAAAAGCTTTAATCATATTCTAAGTTAACAGATGTTTAATTACTGTACAAAATTAAAGACAATTTGCTTCAGTTTACGCCCTTTAACCATTCACGCAAACTTAATTTTTTTCTTAAAAATCAACCATTTGCATGCTAATCAATGCCTTTGCCTAATTTGCATGTGTCAGCAATATGCACATTATGTAAAGGCATTAATTAAGCATGCGAAAGGCTAATTTTTTAGGCTAAAGAAAATTGTCTGAAATTTTGTACAGTAATTAAAAACCCAACAAATGTTCCATCTATCGACTCAAAATATGATTAAAGCTTTTAAATTTCGTGCGCAAGCCATATTTAGTTTGTTGGAGAAGACACCCCCCTGGTTTACAAAATTTGAGTTCGAGAATTTTTTCCATTTTTCTACATAATAAGTACCCAAAGAAGCTATATACATCAAATGCAGGATACTAATAGCTGTTTTGCGAATTTACGAGCAATTTCAAATCTGTGCAGTTTTTAGTGTGAAGTTTCTTCGAAACTTCACAGTATTGTGATGGCTGGGGGGAAATTCAAACTTATCAGTCATTCATTCAGTCATACAGTAAACTTTCCGGGGGGTGTATACGATTTATGTTCGTAGTGATTTATTGTGCTTTGTCAGTACTTTGAAGGTTATTGAAGCAATTTCAGTTAAATTATTTACATATTCTGTTATCCTTTTGCCAAGTTCACAAAAATTTCGAGGAATCGCTTTTGTTATTGTAATTTTTTGTAAATTTTAGAACATTCGCTCCTCATGTTGTGTAAAGGATCTTTACCCCGGAACACGCGATTTTTCTTTAGTTGCGCAAATGCGCATGCGTTATCAAGCCGTAGATCACGATGGCGTGACGATATGCTAGGAAGGAGTGACAGTGTTGTTTTCAGATGTATAAACATTTCAGACGTGAATATTGAGTAAATTTTTGAAAATCTACGCAATATATAAATTGATCTTATGCATTACGTGCGTTCGATTAAGTGTCGATAATATTTAGACGGTATATTCATTATACAGAGCTAGGAAGGAGCTAGACCGCCTAGACAGTGCAGTCAACACTCAAGTGTATAAACATTTCAGACGTATTAAATATTGAGTCGAAAATCTTTGAGATTCTAGGCATTCAATTGAGTGCTGATATTATTTTCACGGTATACTCATTATACGGAGGTACAGTATGTACGAAGAAGCGAGACAGTGTTGTTTTCAAGAATATAAACATTTCAGACATGAATATTGAGAAAATCTTTGAGATTCTACGCAATAATATAATTTAGTATAATTACATAGGTGATTATTGAAAATTCTTCACTCTGATTGGTTGCTGTTGAGGTGATTATTACGCGATAATCACCTAAGCGATTTTCAAAATGGCGGCCGAAGCCGTTTTGTCAATTAAATGACGAAGAAATGTGTATTTTTTATTTTTTTCTAAATAATCACCTATGAAATTATACTAAAACAATTATTCACCTCAGGCTCGGTGATTATCGTGAATAAAAACCTCGACTTCGTCTCGGTTTTTATTCACCGATAATCACCTCGCCTTCGGCGAATAATTGTTAAATATAAATTGATGTTATTATTAATACCGGCATTCAATTAAGTGTCCATCGATATTATTTAGACCGTGTATTCATTATACCTCGCATTATACATTGTCATTGACTCGACTGTATAAGGTGCTACATCACAGAACTCAGTACAAAGAGCGAAAAATTGCATCAGATCTGCATCAGATCAATAAAGCGTAAACAACTACATAGTGAGGCGGATATGTGTAAAATTATTGATCAGTAGTTCCCGTTGAGGTTAAAAGCATCAAACTTTTACAATTGATGTAGTTTTATTTGCTTAATAGATATTTGAAGTGGGGCCATCGCTATTTTGCTGCTAACTCCTGAAAGCGGGTGATTAGTGATTTTCTTCTATTGAATTCTATTATAGCCAAAAAATGTGAAATTTTGTATTCAATTACAACAAATATGACTTGCATCATCAGAAAGCTTATAAAAAACTGCATATAAGACGTTTAGACAGTTTTTTGATTTCTGAAATTGTTTTCGAATTATAAACTGTTAAAAACGCATTTTCCATTAGCGAGATAACGTGCCTAATTTACAGCAATAACCATTTGAAGAATAAAAAAACTGTTTAAAAGACTTTTATGTAGTTTTTTACAAGCTTTCTGATGATGCAAGTTATATTTGTCGCGATTGAATTCAAAATTTCACATTTTTTGTTGTAGTAGAATTTAATAGCAAATAATGCTAATAGCATCGTAAAAAAACAGTTTCACGATGGCCCCACTTTTGCATGTTGTTCTACTCATAAAAAGATGCTACTGTGCACAATTTGGTGCTTTTAACCCTCTTCGGAAACATCCATGCACATATCCGCCACACTAACAACTATTAAACAGAAGCGGGTGTTTGTACAGGCGTTTACGAAGAAAATAATTGCGAGACGAAAGAAATCAGTTGAGTCAGAGCTCCTTATTTAAATAAGATAGCCAATGTGTTATCGCCAACGTGTTATCGCCAATCGCTTGGCTCGCCAACAAGATTTATGCAATGGAAGAAAAAAAGGAAGGAGGTATTACGAAAGTCACCGAACTGTGGAATCGCATAAAAAATTCGTATATCGACCACTCCCACAAACGTCTACGACCGCGCCTACATAGTTTTGCACGTTTACAATTCTAATTTTAAACAGCCAATTACCAAGAACCTGATTGGCTGTTCAAAATTAGAATTGTAAACATGCAAAACTATGTAGTCGAATGTAGGCGTGGTCGTAGACGTTTGTGGGTGGTCGATATACGAATTTTTGATGCGATTCCACAGTTCGGTGACTTTCGTAATACATGTAGCCAACATGTACTGTCACGGACCTTGTTTACTGTCTAGCACAACGCCGTTGGCCTTGTGTTGCAAACTCGTGTTCAGTGCAACGATAACTCTACCAGATCTTACGAGAATCAATCTGTAGTATTCTGCACACAGAACTGTATCAAAGCTTGTCAAAACTGCTTTAAACACTGCAGCTAAGCCTATAACTGTGAAACTATTGAAATCTAAAGTGACATTAATAATTGAACACATGCGAAAAGCTGAAAATAGACACAACGTGACCTTCGAAAAGTCAAAGGTCAATGAGACTTGTTATTGTGAAACATGTCACAATTAGGTTAAAATGCGGAAGCGGATGGAGCGGATCCACGGAACGGATATGCGGATAAAATACGGAACGGATGAAGATAAAATGCTTCCTTTCAATGATATAACGACATAGACCTTATTCATAAATCGTGATGAGGCCTCGTATCCTAGGAAACGGGGAAAAACGCGGGAAAATTGACAAAATGGTTTTTTTTGCTGTCGGCTATGGCAGCTTTATTTCGGAATATTTACGGCTTCTTTCGAAAATAATATCTATAAAACTGAGCTTGAAAGTTGAAAAAATACTTCTGAGAAAATATTACATGATATTTGAAACAAAAGATCCTGGAGTCAATCGAAAAAGGAAACCTTTGACTTTGTATTATTGTCGTAGTTTGTATGGCCGAAACAAACAACCAACAAGGCTACAAAACGTCTATACAATACCAAAATCGTAAGAAATATGAAACAATTGTTGAAGAAATAAGATTACAACTCACTCAGGTAATGTAGCCTTCATTTTTTAAACTTGTAAGCTGCTTGCAGATTGTTATCGAGCCACAGCGATAGTTCATATTTTTCCGTACGAATCAATAACATTTGACGTTCTCTTGTGATTTTTTACTGTTATTTTCTTTCATATTTATGTCAAATTCGAAAATTATACTTCCATTCCATAGTTGTCTTGATTCTTCACAGAATAAACCTTTATATTGACGTTAAAATCTCAGTAAAATACTGTTTTTCGCTTCTGGATAAACACCATCGCTACGTTGTCATTTTTTCCACACAAAAACGGGAGAAAAACCGGTCGCTTTTATAATATACTCGTTTACCGCTTTCGTTGTGGGCACAAAGTCTTAAAATACACACAAAAATCGTTATAAATGGCAAAAAGCAACAAGAAACAAGCGGTTAAAGTCGACACAATAGCATCTGAATTTGGCTTGTAAAGCAGTTTTCGCTTGTTTTCCCGCGTTTTGTTCCCGTATCCTAGGATACGAGGCCTCGTCACGATTTATGAATAAGGTCTATAGTGCTTATTATTCATAACATATCGTATACAGCTATTTCAATTATAGGTTTAGATAAGTTTAGTATAGCAGTAGCCTCGTGGGGATGCTTTTAGCGACAAATGCAAATGAAAATTTAGAATATGCAAAATTTGAAACAATTCAAATTTAGCATGCGTGTAGCATCACAATAAATAGATAAATTGTGTCAGTTTCACAAGGCACGTTTCTGATGTGTTAGGCTTGTTTCAAACGTCACGCTACTCGTGCGCCGAGCGCATTAAAAGCAATAGATAATGAGATGAAATGCCTTTGGTAATTGTTTATTTCGTAGTGTAAGCCATCAGCTTTTCTAGGTTGTCAGCGAACCTATATAGTTCTTGCAGTGTCTTTTTCAATTTGAAACTTCACACTATCCTTGGATCCCTAGTTTTATATACACCAGGGCCTGTATGAACAACGAGAGCGAGTGTTTCACCGGGATATCCAAACACGAGAAAACATGAAAACACGAGCGCGAAGCGCGAGTGTTTTCATACATTGTTTTCGAGTGTTTAGATATCCCGGTGAGACACAAGCTCGAGTTCTTTATATGGCTTCTCAAATGAATCGAGACGTAACAGAATGTTTTCGTTTTCTGATTTGAATAGAATTCTTAAGCAAGCATAGCGTAATTAGGAATTCTATTCAAGTAACTTTGCATGCGTAATTAAGATATTTGATGAAAACACTAGTGACTTTCAACAAGTTTCACCGCGTTATCCAAATGGCATCTTGTGATCAAATAGGTGATTATCATTGGCTGAATTGCTCATGAATTATGAATGAATTTGAGAACGTATTATGAATGCCCAGACTTGAGTGGACCGATCATTATGTAGTGAGTGACGCGTCAAATGAACGCCGTCAACCTTTAGGAATCAATGATATAAACCAGGAAACAAACTCGATTAAAGCTCGAAGAGAGAACTCAAGTCAATTAGCCTTTCTCACGCCGTCATTTCTGGTGGCATTTCAGCCGACGTCAGCGAGATAAGTGGACATAACAGCGATTTTTTATAATTGGACGAATGTTGGTAAATTTGCTTTGTAAATGGTTAGTTTATTTTGTAAAAGTGCTTTTCACATTGTTTTGATTGTCTGCATCGGTTAACGAGAATTAGATGCCACCCAAAATTGGCGGATATGCATCATCGTGAGAAAGGCTAATTTCACCGTTTTCCGGGACATGATAATACTTTTGGAGTCGATTCAACTCTTTGAAATTTACAGTATATAAAATAATGTAAAACAAATTGTTCATTGTCAATATCCTCAACAGTTATCATTCTTATCTTATACTTAATAGACCACTCACAGATCGCTTTCAGATAAATTTTACATCACTGAATAAACTAGTTTTCATCTATTTATCTCTTCGTCTCCTGACGGATGGCGTGGAAGAATTTCTAATCCTACCAACTGCTTGGTATTACATGAAGGATCTTGGAGAGACAAATACATTTCTTGGTTTCACCCTAGCTGCTTATTCAGCAGGGACGTTGGTGTTCGCACCATTCATCGGATTTCTGGCAGTTAAATGCGAAGCATCAAAGGCCATCGTTGTCATGTGTGGTTTAGTGAAATTATTTGGTAATGTTCTGTATTCGATACCCGTCAATGGATATTTCCCTTTGTTTGGGAGATTTATAAGTGGTATAGGTGAAGGAACAACGGGAGTGCTCTATGGAGCCGTGACAAAGTGCACTACTAACGAAAATCGTGCAACAGCATTTCTATATTTCGAAGGTCTCTACTGTATTGGCGAAGTATGTGGTCCAGCAATTGGAAGTCTTCTTATATTCAACTTCAATATATTGGGTGAGTATATATAGGTAATTAGCTAGTGAGATGGTTTTATTTGCACATGTTATGTACGAGTCAAATCCAGCCATCAGCCCCAGGGCATTTGACTTAACATTACCCCCGTATAGGCGGGAATTTGACAGCCCGGTCGGGAATTTGACGGCCCGGCCGGGCATTTCACCACTTGACAACAACTTGCTCAGCAATTTTCCCTAAAAATATGTGTACATTCTAGCGCTTTTGGCGAGTTTTCTATTTTGCGTCTTTTCGATAGTTTGAAAATTGCTTCTGAATCACAAATACCAATCATAGATGTATGATACAATATGCCCAGTTGAACAAAAAGAAGAACTGTCTGGCCTATTTAATTTTCGTTCTTTTTAATCTTGAAATACTTGTTCAATTTAATTTTAGTCAAAATTCCAGAAACAGGACTGCCCCTATAGCAGGGCATTTGACTGTGGTTTCTGTCTGTTCGGGCGGGCATGTGACCAATTATTTTTTCAAAAGTCAAATTCCCCGGGGGTTTCCCGGGGGGGAGCTGATCGCGGTTGGATTTGACTCGTACATTAAACGGGAGAGATTACTTTACTATATAAATTATAATGGAGGCAAAAAAACTCTATTTTTAACTATATTTCCAGTAGCGGTTAGGTATCAACAAATCAATGTCACACGTAAATGTACACTGAAATTTTAATTTGTTGTTGGCTACCTGAGGCACAGAATAGATATATAGGGCAGAAGGTTCACTCAAGGGTAAAAAGTGTGCCAGAATGTCAGCCGACTTCCAGTGTGGCCACCATGTTGAAAGCAACCAAATAGTCTGGCAGATAGAAGGAAAAAACTCACCATATCGAGGGGCAATTCCATTTTGCGTTCATATTGTGCCCTGATGGCTAGCAAGTACGTTTCTGAATGTTGGCCGCGTTAAAATTTCTTGTGGGCTCCTGCCGACACGTTTTTCTTCGAATGTTGTATTAAACTCTATTACAGTTAAAAAATGTGAAATTTCAAATACATTTCTAACACAAATGACTGACATCAATAGAAAGCTAACAAAAAACTACATATAAGACATTTAAATGGATAGTTGGGATTTTCAAGCGGTTTTCGAATTATTGCCGCTTCAAATGTGAAAAATAAGCCAAAATCTCGCAAAATTCCTGGGTATTAGTCTGAAAATACGCTTTCAACAGCTCATAACTCAAGAAGAACTTGAAAAGCCCGGGTAACCATTTAAATGTGTAATATATAGTTTTTTGCAAGCTTTCTAATGATGTAAATCATTTGGGTTAGAAATGTACTATTTGAAATTTCACATTTTTTAACTGTAATAGAATTTAATACAACATTCGAAGAAAAACGTCTCGGCAGGAGCCCACAAGAAATTTTAACGCGGCCAACATTCAGAAACGTAGTTACTAGCCATCAGAGCAGAATATAAAAGCAAAATGGAATTGCCCCTCGATATGGTGAGTTTTTTCCTTCTATCTGCCAGACTAAAACCAGAGGAAATTTTATAGGAGTTAGTATGGCGGAATACGAAATAGAGCCACTAAAAGTGCTCTAGCTTTTCACTATCCAAGCAAAACTCATGATACTTTGAAATATCATAAAGAAGAGGTTGTTCTTTGATTTAATTGTCACTATGAGGATGAGAAACGAATTTAAGCGTGGAATTTGGCCATTGTCATACATCGATTAATTTCACCTCGGTCTTTGGCGAATAGTGATAAACATATAAAGTTATATAGCCTATGTGTGGTTAGTCCGATCGCCGTAAAATATGTTTTGAGTGATAAGTTGGTGATATTTCATGGTGTACAAAAGGATTAAGGACGTGAATGCCATGAACAATGAAGGAAATAAATTGAGTTCATCGAACCTTCGGTGAATCTGTGATCAACTATTCAATACATATTGGCCTGCAATCGTTTAATATAAAATAATATTGCGATATGAAAGAAATTACTGGACCTACTTCTTCTTCAAAAATAAATTTTAGGGATAATATATTGACTTGAACCTATTAAAATTCCTTTGGCTGTGACTTTACAAATTTGGTATCACAAGCGACAAGGCCTCCTATGTCACGACATTATCACGACTGTTCATTGATATTGGAAAAATAGTTTAAAGATCAATGCTTGGATGAATCAAGGAACCTCATTTACAAAACAGACAATAAAAGATCTGATTTATCTTAACGCCAGTTTAAATTATAAATCTGTGAGATTCTAATGTACACTCTAGTTTTTAAGGTACATATTAACAGTTTACTCTACAATGAGGGGAAAATAATCTGAATATGAGAATTTTCTCTGTTACTCAAGTTTATGTTACATTTAGCACCAAGTATATTATTGTTGCTATCACCTTAGGGGCTGTTTACATGAGCCCGACTAGTCATGCAGGCTGGCCAGGTTAACCAGGCTGAAGGCCTGGCTAGCCAGGAGGTTACCTGAGCTGGTGACTTTACATGGAGAAATTTCAGCCCGGTTATCCGGGTGTCCCCTTTGACTCAAGTGAGATCTTGGCTAGGTAGATTCTTGTTAAATGATTTGTATTTAAGCTGGGTGCCTCGGTTAACAGGACTAGTCGGGCTCATGTAAATAGTCCCTTAGTTATTAAGACTTGTTGGCAGAGTAAAATATATCAGGCAATAAACTGGTTTCAACTTGCAACAAATCGGATGTTGGTGCATGTAAGTTGTTATTAAGACTTGTTGGCAGAGTAAAATATATCGGGCAATAAAACTGGACCAGGTTTCAACTTGCAACAAATCAGATGTTGGTGCATGTAAGTTGTAGTGTTGTTTTTACAAAGGGAACCAAGTAAATGAAACTTTAACATCTAGTGTATTCTACTATGTACAAGTTGTACAACCCCAAAAATGTAAACAACACTTTGATTTGATTTTAGTTCCATAAATCCATATTTTTTATCCATATTATCAATCCATATTTAATCTGATTTTAGTTCCATAAATCCATATAATTTAGTTCCATAAATTTGAGTTTAGATCCATAAATCTATTAAGATCTGCAACTGTCCTACATGCACAAATGCCATCCAATGTAATGACCTAGATGATAACAGGAAGCAGTTTTGTTTCTTTAAGGCCTTTGATCAAACAGAAAACACATTTGAAGGTCTTCATGTTCCAACAAATTGCTTTCTGAACTACATCATGAAAGATACAAAAATTGTTTTTGAGGTTGTGCATTTACTACAGCTTGAAATTTGCCAATCGTGAACTTTCCAACACTAAAAAGAAGAACAGAAAATATTTGAAGGTAGCACATCTTTAACCATGTGCACTGGACAATATGCTGTGTTGCCAAAACAATTAAGCAATATAACTTCTACAAGTTATATTGCTTAAAATCTTTTACACCAAAGTACATAAGAACTGAACTGTAAAATACAAGGCTGGTGTTAAATAATTACTAAGATGTTGCTACACTGAGTAAATCTATACCAGGCAAGCTGAAAAATCAACTTGACCACAGTAAGAATGCAGCCCACAACCCCTGGTTTACAAGACCAATGCATTCCAGACTGAGCTACACAGTTTGAATGTGCAATATTTTATTATTTTGGAGCTTAATTAGTCTCGCTCCTTCACTAAGATGGTAAACCTAACAATGCCGATGGTAACTGATAACAGGTGAAATCATTAATTAAGATGGTGCTTGCTGAGTAAATCTACATGAGATTGGTGTGTTGCAATTTTGGGTCATGAACTGTAACTTCTGGCAAGTTAGTCTGCTCCACCATCAATTGCTTGATACAGATGTGAACAAATATCGTACTGATCATTACTGTTACCAGCAATCAAAGTTTAATATCAAAGTTACAAATTATAAACCAGTTCTGGTGAAAATGGATTCTACTCGCGCAGTTTACTTAGTTTAGTCCAAAAACGTTTTTGTTAATTAAGAAAAGAAGCCCAATACAAAGACATCACATCCCCTTTTACTGATCAGGTATATAATTTAGTACGAATAGTAGTACGAATTATAAGGATATTCACAGTATAATATGCGCCTAAAATTAAAAAAAATTCAACCTACTGCGTTCTAAAAACAAGACATGACGCATTTTTCTTCAAGTTAAGTGGAATAGTAGTTGCAATAGTTTCAAACTACACTCAGAAAAACAACATAATGCGTATATATCCATCGGTGCCAAAACAGCACATACAGTTTGCAATGCGTTTAAAATGACAATTTTAGCATTATTCAATAAGCTTTTATTATAATAAAATGAATAATCTACCTTTCTTTTGTACGTCCTGAAAATTTCAATGACATCCACCATAAAATAACGACGATATACCCATTTAAAGTTATGAAATACAAGTTTCGCCATATTAGTTTATAATGTTTTGGACCAGAGTTGGTTGCTTTCAACATGGCGGCCAGGATCCGGAAGTAACATGTACCGGCACAAAAACTTCAAAGGTTCCGACTCGAGTGAAGCTTCTGCTCTTCTCTATTT